AACATCAAGACTTAATGTGGTTATTGATAACACATTATTATATTATATGCACTATAGAACTATCAAATATTTATACATTATTTGGAAATATGCTCTTATGTCTGAGGACACACATATGCCAGACAGTCACACCATATGACATTTTTGATGTTTAGATCAAAATTCCACGCAGAAATCTTATTAAAACCACAACACCTTTGGTATTATTTTACTTTATCTTTATCTCTTGGAAGAGCTTTGCAATGAGTATCTTTTCACTTGACCCCAGAATCACAGTAGTAATTGAAATGACAGAAATACAATTGTTAAGATTATATTAAAAATAAAATACATTTTTAAAAAATCTAAAAGAAAATACTCACTTGATCCAATTTATTTTGCAATTGGATATAATTATGTCTCAAAATTACAAAGAATCCATTTATTTTATTCCTTTTTCCCTTTGGAAAGATGCTATTTTGCTACTGTACTATTTTGCCAGTTGTCTAATTTTGAAATTAGACACTGCTCTTAGTCATTTTGATGCAAAAAAAAAAGAGAGACATTCTGAGGATCACAAAACACATGTTGCCTTAAAAAACAATCTGGACCTAAACTAAGGAGAGGTAGAATAGTTGTTTTATCTTGCATACCTATAAAGTATCACCACATCGATAAACGCTTCAGCCAGCTACGTGTTGGCATTTTACTTCTACTCATTGTACATGTTCTACTCATGTATAACAATTTAGATAAAGTTTCAATATATAAATGTTATTTTAAGTGATTACGCATGTTTATGTGGTGGCCATGGTCAAAATAGTTTTGAAAGGCCTGTTTACATTTAACAGAAGGGTAAAAATAAAAGCTAAAGACTTTTAAGTGGGAAGTATTTCATTTGTGTTGTTGCATTTTAATTATAGTGTTTTTGGAAGAGATTAAAATTCTGACGTTGTTATCCTATTTTGGGAGTAAGGTTTGTGAAAAAGTGGCCTCTTGACGTGTTTGAGATGTTTGATTATTCTTTATTTAGTCTGTATATTGTAATAAAGGGGTTCATGTTCATAGGTTTCTATGGAGCTGAGAGCTGAGGCACTGAAACGATTCAGTTAATTGTGTCTCATTTAACCAACACTCTCTATACTTCAAACAGGGACACTGTACATTGATAAAACACTTCTGTAAATGTACTCATGTTTGCCACAACATTTTTAAACCTGTCCCAGTTATTTTTCATAATTCTAACTTTACCTAAACTGTAAAGTGATTATAACCTGATATAGCAGCATAAATGTTCATGTTCAGTTTCAGGCTGTTTTTTGTTGTTGTTTTGTTTTGTTTTTCAGTCGTTTGGCTGTTTGGTGAGATGTCCAGCAGGTGGCAGCAGA